ACTGGAATATTTTCTAATAGCAACAAGTACTTGAAGTTATTTTTTAACTATTTTATACAACACTGTAAAATAATATTTACTTTGTGTCAGTTTTAATAGTTTAATAATGTATAATAAACAGTATTAAATATAGTAGACAAGTATTCATTTATTTTTTTTTAAATGAATTTACATCAAGTAAATAGAAGACTTATACACGTCCAATACGGTTTGTCTTCAAGACGTACAAAACTGGATGTCTTAAAAACGTACAAAATTAGGTGTCCTAAAGAGGCCTTGTTTTGTAACAAAGTACATCCTATAGACGCCTTTAAAACATCTTTTGGATATTAGCGTAGATATTTAAAACGTCACGAACACCGTGAACAAACGTATTTAAGATTTTTTTAAGACGTGTCTGTGCTATCTGGGGTAGTGTCATTCTTTATTAAGTAAAAATAAATCTTTTTGTAATACGTGTAGATCATTATGTTTTGTGTTTAAAGAAACACTCATTTTATTATGTAAACGATTTGATTTAGTTTATTTCAATATATTTTTTTCTTGTGTCTTATTTATTGTTATTTATTTATTTTAAATTTTAGGCTTTGAAATTGTTTCATACCTAAAAATATCAATGAATTACTAATGACATAAATACAAGTTCGTTTTTTTATTTTCAACATGTTACGCCTTTGATCAAATATCGTTGGTGTCAAAATAACACAAGATTTTCAGCGACATTATGAATCCTCTCTTTATTACAGTTCATCAAATTTCTAGAGGCTTTCGACGGCTAGACAGAGAAAGCACTACTGATAGGCATCCCGACGGATTTACGCAATGAAAGTACACTCTGCGCATCAAGTATTTCACTATTTCATTCAGACGTAAATGTCAGATGTAAATTTCGCTAAAACATTTCTTTTATTTTCGTTTGTGTTTTTTGCTCATTACAGTTTAATAGAACCTAAGTATGGAGTTTAATAGCAAATTAAGAGGCCGCGTGATTAACAGTCAATCTCGCGAAATAATAGCCAATGTTATAGAGTTTATGAGAAGAGAAGGAAACTTTAATTCACCTTCAATACCATTTAAAAATGTAAATGATCGTGTTGCTGCAGCCACAGGAGTATCTAAAAACACTGTCGTCCGCATTTCTGGAGAGAAAAAAAGAATCGATAACCGTGAGATATCGGAATTTTCATCACCAAGAAAAACCATTAAAAAACCAAAAACAGTTAATGATATAGATGAAGCTGCACAAAAATCAAATTATATTTTTTTATTATTAGATAGCTATTTTTGTTTCTGAGTTGTGTTCATTTACAGGCTCAATTTTTTTCCGTTTCTCCTTTTATGATTTTATATGGGGTTTCAAGTTGTTTTTGACTTATTTCGACGTAAATCACAACAACACACTTTTTTAATAAAGCAAACAAGTGTTAAGAGGTATATGTACGTGTAAACTACAATTACAAAAAATTGATATGAAACCCATGAAACCACCAACAAAAATGTAAAGCTAGCTTCCGTACTAGAACATGGTGTCATTCGTCGAGATAATTTATCGTTTTGTTTAATAGATCAAGAAATGTAAATATTCCCCTGTTATTTTTTATAAAATTATAAGAGAAATAAATTTTTTTCTAAATAGTATAGTTTATTATTTTGTAGAAAAACAAAATTTCGAAAATTTTAGTAATGTTTCAGAAACAACCGTTATTAATAATAGGTACCATTTTCCTTAATAAGGTAGAAATAAAATATAAACTATTTCCACGATTTACAAAGGCCTACAAAAAAATTATAGGTATTTTCCGCTATCCTATAAAATTTATATTTTCTGACTCAATTTCAAAAGGTTGAAGGAATTCCAAAACACCTTTTATGGCATAATAATTATTTTCAATTCTACATACTATCTTTAGCTGCTTTTAAAAACGTTCTAAGAAAGTCCAATCAGACCAATTTAATCCCTAAACTATTCCACACTTTTAAAATTTAATTACCTAAAAATATTAAAAACTATTTAAAATAACTTGTTTAGCAGACTGTACAATAGCTATCTTAGTCACACGTAGCGCGTTCTCTGTCTGGACGTCGAACACCTCTAGAAATTTGATGAACTGTACCTAGTCTAAGGGGGAATTGTACGTCGCACATAGACGTAGTGTTTCGGGAGAGTTTACATATATTTTTAATAAAAATTATTTAGTGACCAAATCAATTACCTATGAATCTTCGGAATATCAAAGGTAAATTTAAATAAAACATACTCAATTTATACAGGGCATTCAAAAAGTCGATTAGATATTTTCTTACAAATTAAAATGGTAGGTAGCTCAAAGTGGAAGAACATTTTTATTAGTATTTTATTAAATACTATCTTTTTTTTTAAATACATAAAGAGCAAATAAAAATATAAAGCCATTTATGATTCTTTTTACATGGGTATTGACAGATATCCTTTTCTACAGATCGAAAAAAGAATATAATTATATTGCGGACTACCTTATTTCATAAAAAAAAACTATTAAAAACAATATAACAATTGTATTTCATGTACATAAATATGTATACAAATAAAATCTTGCTAATACATACCATTTGAGCATGTCACGACACCTATTTTTAGCATTATTTGTTTAATGGTATAATAACTCATTTTGGAGAGTAATCAGCAACGATTTTATAATATCTGGACAAGGCTAAAATACATTAGCTTTAGATTTTCAAGAAAGATTCTATTTTTAATTTGTCCGAATAGAAAACAAACTAAAGGAAACTTCTTTTCTGACATTTCGATTATCATTTTAGTAGCAATGGTTACTCCTACAAACTCTTGGTGAAAAACCTACCCAATAGATTTATTTAGTGTTATAACTGATATTTTGTAAAGCATATTTTGGAATAAAAGGCAAAATAGCCATTTGTGTAATAGGAACAGAAAGTAGCACTTTTGGCAGTTGAGACAGAAAGTTGCCAGGCGACGCGTCAGCGGAGCACGGTAATCTGTCGAAGAGAAAAGGTTTTAGTACTTATGTGTCGGTAATTATTTATGATGTATTTATTTAATTATTTACAGAAAATACTGTTAAATGATTTAAAATATTAGAAAGTCAATTTAATATTTTAGATTAGCTTACATTTTGTTTCACAATACCGATTAGCTTTTATTTATTTCATTCAAATAAAACCAACCAAGCGTGTGCCAAAGTTACTTTGGCACACGTTTGCGCCAATAATGTTAAATTATGACAATTCGCGAAAAACGTCAACTTTCTAATTAGATTTGAATGTGCAAAAGACTACTTTGGATAGTGATCGTAGAAATTTTTTCTTTGGGGGATTACTTACTAGGCCATTGTCCGAAGAATATTTCTTTACTTTTGTTCAATGCAGTTACTATAAACTATTGTCTTCAATGATAAAATTAGTATCGTCTGGACATAAATCACCGTCAGTAGATGGACAGGTATTAAAATATTTTACATAAAGAATAAGAATACAAGCATTTTATGGGACCAGTGTTATGTTTTCTGTTTTATCACTTCTTACATAACTTTAACAAAAAATTGTAAAAAAATATATTATGTTTTTATATTTACCTTCAGCTAGCCTTATCCTCTTGCAACATTTAAATTTAGAGCACAAGATGCTCTTAATCTCAAGGTGAGTTCAGGTAAGTTTTATACACACTTTAACTTTTATTTAATTAGTTTTATTTTTTTTATTTATTATAATTCTATTTCAAATGATTTTATTTGATTTTAATTTAATTTTTAATTTTTATTATTTCATTAGATTAGTTAGTAATTTCATTAATCACAGATTAGTTAATAATTTGAGTAATCATATCCATAAATCCCTTCTATAATTGATTCTTTACTATAGATTTACTAGTTGTCATCCAATTAGTTTTAGAATTTAACAAAACAATTAAATAAAGAGATTTTTAAAACAATGTGACAATTTATTACACAAATAGATTGATTTTATTAATCTAACAATAAAAAAATCATTGAACTTGTTGATTAATCTACATAAAATAAATCAATGGATTCCCAAACATCAATTCATACCAATTACTAGGAATAAGTCAAATAATCGATTCAAAATCAATTATTTATGATAAAGAAACTATAATTCTTTTATACCTCTATGTCAAGTAAAAGTTTCGATTATTATTTGACATTTATTTTTATATCTGTCACAAACACATACTTTGATTTTCTTTTACTATACGGAGAATGGTCGCACTGAGCAGCTTTCTGAGTGCCTTTTAAAAGGAGATAGAAAACTCCGCCATTTTGAACCCTTAGTACGTGTTGCCTACATCTTGGCGCAATATTTTTAATATGTGCGTTTTAATCATCCGCTTCTGCTTCGGAATTGTCGGTTTTCTTGTTTTAATCTGATAGGTTAAAAACGACTAAACCGACAATTCCGGAAGCAGAAGCGGATGATTAAAACGCACCTGATATTTTGCTTGCTGCTGTCAGTGTCAGTGAATATTATTTTTGAAGTTACAGTTTATTGCTAAAGAATCAGTTAGCTCACTCGGACAAATTCAGGATACGCAGAATACTGCTGTTTTATTGTAGGCGGTTGTCATATATTGTATTATCCGAGTTGCGCAGTGTATAAACTGGAACATTGAGATCAAAAGTGCCGACGCAGAGTGAGCGATCTGATTCTTTAGCTGTAAACTGTGTCACAGGGTTCAAAATGGCCGCGCCCTATGTTGGGCGTGTCGGACCTCTCTCTTGTCTCGTATAGTAATCAAAGTATGTGGTCACAAACTATTATAATAAATTTTTTATCTAAATATGATTATTGATATTAACCATTTATTAAGAATTCTACTTTCTATTCAATTCTATCAAAAGGTAATTACTATTTATAATAAATATACCAATATTTGTAAACTATTCACAATATTTAAATTGTTCATAAACATTTACTACTCACGTAATTCTTGTGCTTTCTTCCAAATTTATTTGCAAAGATTTGCAAATATGTTGGAAAAGGTCTCCACTTCTACTCCAAGTATTGCTATCCAAGCATTCAGCCGTGGTTTCACCTTCTGGGATTTATTATCAAGTAATATGATAATATAATTTCACAGTAAGTTTTTTTACAAATACTTATGTAGGTAATTTCTTTACTTAATTATATTTATATTATAACTTTTTCCTTTTTAGGAACTTAAATTCAAAATTGAGGAAAGAATTGCCTGACTTTTCTCTCTCTGACAGGACAAGATGAATTCAACAACCTCTATTTTTTCTATCGTCATCATCTCCATAAAACTCATTAGCTACCAGTAAGATTTACTAATTAAAATGAGATCATTATTTGATTATTTTCTATTTCAAAATTCTGATTAGACTACTATTTATAACATTTATGTTTAAATATTTGCTATTTTAAAAATTTTTTTAAGCTTATATTTTCCATAAATTATATACTCTGTAAGTATGAATGATTTTTACTCTTTATTTCAACTGCCAATCAAATTTATCTTCTTAGTTATCATTTACTTTGACTTTTATTACAAAATTATAATATCACATACAGGGTGATACTTTACTATATTATTAAATCAACATTTTAATGTGAAAATTCTTACTTTTCTAAGTATAATTACTTTGCTGAATTCTAATAACACATCACCAGTTACTTAGAAACACAAAAAATTATAAAAACAAATAATTTAAATTAAAAATTACTGATTCTGAAATAAAATGCTTTTTAGGTACACAGAAGATTTGAATATATAAAATATTTTCATGTTTCATTTTAGTGGAAAATTTTGAGTTCTTTTTTTGTTTATATAGAAGAAATTGTTTATAAAAATGATTGGACATTCTAAAGTAGTAAGAAGCTAAATACTTTGTCAAAAATATTGGAAGATGCTCTCTCTTTTCACAGGTAGGTTATGTCAAAATCAATCTCAAAGAGTTTCAAAGCAACAATATAGAATCCCTATGAAGTATTTTAATTTTATTAGCTGAAATGTTGTATACAGGGTGTTTCAAAAAGTATGTCATACATTTTTTCTCAGATAGATAACCAAAAATAAGTGGATTTGGCTATATTTACCTATATCAAAAACTGGCTCCTAACAAAGTTACAGGGCGTTAAACTAATATTCAAAAAAACGTTTTTTATTTGTAAAAATTTTGTTGCGATTTTTTCTTTGAATTTTTTGCCAGTGCTGTAGGTATGAAGGCCTAACATTCTATGGAGAAAAAAAATTAAAACGACCCCCTTAAAAAAGTTGGGGGGTTGAGTACCTGTTTACCCTCCCGTATTTTCTTTTGTAATAAAGAAACTTGCTTTATCGATCTTAAAATCAAAAAGAACTATGAATTTTTCATAGCAAAATGAACTTTGTATCTTTCTTAGTTAACGAGCTATTTACAATTTTTTAACTGAATTTCTAGAGCAATTCGTCCGTCCTGGACTTAACATATCAACAAAACTAAGAGTAGGTCAGGAGTTATTGTACAAAAAACGCATATAAAAATCAGTGGTGTGCCTAGGGCTGTGCTCGAGCCGCCCCTGCAAAAACTACCTCTTTTATTTATATTTTGGTATTCAAGAAGGAGGAGGACATATTGAACATTTACTAAATTAAATAGTTTATATTTTTAATTGTTAATTTTTTGTTAATTGTTTAATTATAAAAATAATTTATTTAATTACTAATAAATTTAATAAATACATTTCCAAACTAACGTGTAGTTTTATCAGTGGCATGGTGAACCCATGAGGACTGGTGACACACCATTTTTATGGCGCCAATCCAATATTATAAATACCTTTTTTACAAAAATATAAATAAAAGAAGTAGTTTTTGCAAGGGCGGCTATGTATTACAAGCAAAAAACAATCAATATTTAACAACTGAAAATGACAGTTCTGAATAAGAACGTTAAAACCTAATTTAAACAATAACTGACACCAGAGAACTAGATGTTGTTCTTTTTAAATTTTACAGTTTTATAATTTTAAGTAAAGTAATCGCATTTTAATGAGCACGATTTATGACAAATATGAAATATTTCCCAGTAATTGTATATTGGTAAAATGTTGTATGCAAAACCTATTTTCTTTACCAGGTATGGAAATAAACGTTATGGAGTTTCCTTTCACTAGTGACAAAACTTAAGTTTTTGGTAATATTCTGTATTTCTTAAGAAGTCGTACACAAATATATTTTTCCTATATTTGGGTTTCCAAAAAACTCTATATATTTGTCTTATTTTACACGTGTATTTGAAAATAAAATCAACCTAAATCTTGCCATGTGCGCGCGATAACGTGCCCATCCAAAAATGCTCAGCGGTAGAAAATTACTGAAGAAGATCTCAAATCATCCCCAATCTAAATACTCAACCCTAAATTTACCCCTCAGGTACGTGCCTTATCGTCATCATCCCCCCAAAGGAGTTGACTTCGGAATAAATACCTACTATACCGACCGAGATATAGAAAAGGCGGCGGGCGGGTGACACGGTCTGTACGTGATAAAGACAAGGCAGACTATAATAAATAATTCAGAAAATCGTGCCTTGGTAAGAAATTGCAGGAGAATTGCAAGGGAGAGTCGGAAAGTAAAGCAAAAATAAAAGGTGTTTGCGAATTTCTTATATAATTTCATCAAGAAGGAATTTCGAAATGAAAATACCAGTTACCATCGTGGACTTACACTAAAAAACTTTGAGATATACAACTAAAATGGTTACATCTTAATACACAAATACCAAACTGCATAGTGTTATTTTTTTTAGTGTTACTGGTATAAACTTTTAAATAAATAAATGGTAAATTGGTGTCAGGTGCGGGGTACTGTAAATAAATAGTGAATACAAAAGGCTAAAAAACTATGTAATTTAAAAAATGACCGAGCGTCAAGAACTAGAAGATCACGAGTTGCAAATGACAGAAAAAAAAGAAGCGGCTTAAAGAAGCAATAGAAAGTGAAGGTTTGGATTTATAAAAGTATCTATTTTGACATGATGTATCTTCTGGTGTAATTTATTTTGATATCAAAAGTAAGATCTCTTTTTTGGAAAATAAAGTTTCTTTAAATCTCTCTTCGAATGTTTCTTCTACGAAAAATGATATTACTTCCTTGGAATACAAAGTTTCTTCTGACATTTCTTCCTAAGAAGAAAAGGCGTCTTCTGTTATGTATTTTATGAAAAATTAAGTCTCTTCTGATATATCTTCTTTAAAAACCATTTTTTTTTTAGATTTGACAAGTAAAATGTTTTCTATGAGAAATTAAATTTCTGCCGATATAAATAATAAGATGTCTTCTATTGAGGAGAAAGAAGAAATGTCTTCCTTTAAAGAGATAGATAAACAATAGAAGAAATTGAGAGAACAGAAAAACATGGTGTGGAAAATAGAGAAGAGCTTAAGGAGGGCAAAATAAAGAGAGTCAAAGCTGAAATTGGAAGCTCTGCTCGTGTTGAAGCTCCAATTTTCGACGAAAAGATGCCATGGACCAATTATCTGGAACAGTTCAAAATAAATGCGAAAGCAAACAAATGGTCTGAAAGAGAGAAAGTAGTAAATTTGACTATCTCCGTTTGAGGAGATGCTTCAGATTTTCTTCAGACTATACCTGTGGAAGAGACTGATGATTTTAAACAACTTTAAAAATACTACACATGCAATAAAGCCACGAACACTTGAAGCGTTTGTAGCAGTCACAGCTAAATAATCGCAAACAAGAACGTTGCGAGACTCTTTAGGAATACGAAATAGATATTGTCAGGTTGGTATGTTTTGTTTACCCGTCAGATAATATGATGGACTGTCTAGCTGTCTAAACATTTGTTGATGCACTTAGTTATCATAAAATGCAGAAAACACTCTGTCTAGCGCGTCACAAAACATTGGTGGATGTATTGTCAGCTGCTCTAGAGTATGAGGCAGCTACACAGGTTTATGGTGTAGGGGCGGACTTTAAAACAGGTATAAGAGAAGGACAATCTTGACTAATTGGATAACATGATGAAGAGCATTACTGACAAATGAGGACAATACCATGCCCGTTGCTGTACCGGAAGATGCGATAGTACATGATGAAAGTTAAACCAGTATAGTAGCACGGCTTTAAGAAAGCCTATCAATGTGGAAGCTAGGAACTACGATTAAGAGGTTGATTGAGGAATTATAATTAGAAAGAGGTTGGTCATGACTGCTAAAGAAATTCCAGTACGTCTCATAAACGGTAATTATCGCCCAATTACTATCAAGAAAGAAACCAGAACCATAACCTTTGTATCCGTAACTTCCATAATTCGTCAGAAAACACCTTCTGATAATTTCAACCACAAATTCGATAAAATGATTGCAGTTTCTGGTCAATCTTTGAATCAGTTAGAGAAACGGAAAATAAAGAAATTTCTTTGACGATATCGTGACATTTTTGTGCCAAAAGGAGAAAAAACAGAAAGAATATCTGTTACAAAACATAAAGGTGACCCTGGTGACGCCAGGCCGATTTGTCAATCAGCTAGAAGATTACCAAAGGCTAAGAAAAGGAAAACTGAAAGAATTGTTCAGGAAATGGAGTTGGGTTGAGAGAACATTCTACTAGCTTATGGGTCTCTTCGGAACTTCGATATTATATGTGGACTACCGTCATTTGGTCAATGTTTCCAAGAAAGACAGTTATTCACTTACTCGAATCGGCGATACCTAGGACATATTGGTTGGAAATAAACTACTTTTTATTTTAGACTTAAAGTCAGGATATTGGCAGGTGGAAATAGGCCCATTAGACAAATAAGAGACAGCCTTTGCCACCATATCTGGATAATGTTAAATTAATTTTATGCTATTTGGGCTATGCAATGCCCCGTGAAATTTGAAAGACCTATAAAAATGTGTTAAAAGATAACCCTAGGAAAGATACCTGGTGTATTTAGACGACATTATAGTCTTGGAGAAAACATTTGATTAACATTTAAGAACTTGGAAATTGTATCTAAAAGACGTCAAGCTACTCAACTGAAGCTAAACCACAAGAAATGCCAGCTCTTTTAAAATAAAGTTAATTACTTGGGTCATATAGTCAG